ACCCTGACGAGTCTCCCAGTTCCTCATCTTTCCCTCGACCCTGACGAGTCTCCCAGTCCCTCATCTTTCCCTCGACCCTGACGAGTCTCCCAGTCCCTCATCTTTCCCTCGACCCTGACGAGTCTCCCAGTTTCTCATCTTTCCCTCGACCCTGACGAGTCTCTCAGTTCCTCATCTTTCCCTCGACCCTGACGAGTCTCCCAGTCCCTCATCTTTCCCTCGACCCTGACGAGTCTCCCAGTTCCTCATCTTTCCCTCGACCCTGACGAGTCTCCCAGTTCCTCATCTTTCCCTCGACCCTGAGGAGTCTCCCAGTCCCACATCTTTCCCTCGACCCTGACGAGTCTCCCAGTCCCTCATCTTTCCCTCGACCCTGACGAGTCTCCCAGTCCCTCATCTTTCCCTCGACCCTGACGAGTCTCCCAGTTCCTCATCTTTCCCTCGACCCTGACGAGTCTCCAGTCCCTCATCTTTCCCTCGACCCTGACGAGTCTCCCAGTCCCTCATCTTTCCCTCGACCCTGACGAGTCTCCCAGTCCCTCATCTTTCCCTCGACCCTGACGAGTCTCCCAGTTCCTCATCTTTCCCTCGACCCTGACGAGTCTCCCAGTCCCTCATCTTTCCCTCGACCCTGACGAGTCTCCCAGTCCCTCATCTTTCCCTCGACCCTGACGAGTCTCCCAGTCCCTCATCTTTCCCTCGACCCTGACGAGTCTCCCAGTCCCTCATCTTTCCCTCGACCCTGACGAGTCTCCCAGTCCCTCATCTTTCCCTCGACCCTGACGAGTCTCCCAGTCCCTCATCTTTCCCTCGACCCTGACGAGTCTCCCAGTTCCTCATCTTTCCCTCGACCCTGACGAGTCTCCCAGTCCCTCATCTTTCCCTCGACCCTGACGAGTCTCCCAGTCCCTCATCTTTCCCTCGACCCTGACGAGTCTCCCAGTCCCTCATCTTTCCCTCGACCCTGACGAGTCTCCCAGTCCCTCATCTTTCCCTCGACCCTGACGAGTCTCCCAGTCCCTCATCTTTCCCTCGACCCTGACGAGTCTCCCAGTTCCTCATCTTTCCCTCGACCCTGACGAGTCTCTCAGTTCCTCATCTTTCCCTCGACCCTGACGAGTCTCCCAGTCCCTCATCTTTCCCTCGACCCTGACGAGTCTCCCAGTCCCTCATCTTTCCCTCGACCCTGACGAGTCTCCCAGTCCCTCATCTTTCCCTCGACCCTGACGAGTCTCCCAGTTCCTCATCTTTCCCTCGACCCTGACGAGTCTCTCAGTTCCTCATCTTTCCCTCGACCCTGACGAGTCTCCCAGTTCCTCATCTTTCCCTCGACCCTGACGAGTCTCCCAGTTCCTCATCTTTCCCTTGACCCTGACGAGTCTCCCAGTTCCTCATCTTTCCCTCGACCCTGACGAGTCTCCCAGTTCCTCATCTTTCCCTCGACCCTGACGAGTCTCCCAGTCCCTCATCTTTCCCTCGACCCTGACGAGTCTCCCAGTCCCTCATCTTTCCCTCGACCCTGACGAGTCTCCCAGTCCCTCATCTTTCCCTCGACCCTGACGAGTCTCCCAGTTCCTCATCTTTCCCTCGACCCTGACGAGTCTCCCAGTCCCTCATCTTTCCCTCGACCCTGACGAGTCTCCCAGTCCCTCATCTTTCCCTCGACCCTGACGAGTCTCCCAGTCCCTCATCTTTCCCTCGACCCTGACGAGTCTCCCAGTTCCTCATCTTTCCCTCGACCCTGACGAGTCTCCCAGTCCCTCATCTTTCCCTCGACCCTGACGAGTCTCCCAGTCCCTCATCTTTCCCTCGACCCTGACGAGTCTCCCAGTTCCTCATCTTTCCCTCGACCCTGAGGAGTCTCCCTGTCCCTCATCTTTCCCTCGACCCTGACGAGTCTCCCAGTCCCTCATCTTTCCCTCGACCCTGACGAGTCTCCCAGTCCCTCATCTTTCCCTCGACCCTGACGAGTCTCCCAGTCCCTCATCTTTCCCTCGACCCTGACGAGTCTCCCAGTCCCTCATCTTTCCCTCGACCCTGACGAGTCTCCCAGTTCCTCATCTTTCCCTCGACCCTGACGAGTCTCTCAGTTCCTCATCTTTCCCTCGACCCTGACGAGTCTCCCAGTCCCTCATCTTTCCCTCGACCCTGACGAGTCTCCCAGTTCCTCATCTTTCCCTCGACCCTGACGAGTCTCCCAGTTCCTCATCTTTCCCTTGACCCTGACGAGTCTCCCAGTTCCTCATCTTTCCCTCGACCCTGACGAGTCTCCCAGTTCCTCATCTTTCCCTCGACCCTGACGAGTCTCCCAGTTCCTCATCTTTCCCTCGACCCTGACGAGTCTCCCAGTTCCTCATCTTTCCCTCGACCCTGACGAGTCTCCCAGTTCCTCATCTTTCCCTCGACCCTGACGAGTCTCCCAGTCCCTCATCTTTCCCTCGACCCTGACGAGTCTCCCAGTTCCTCATCTTTCCCTCGACCCTGACGAGTCTCCCAGTTCCTCATCTTTCCCTCGACCCTGACAAGTCTCCCAGTTCCTCATCTTTCCCTCGACCCCAATGAGTCTCCCAGTTCATGCTGCTCTTAAACACCCCCACAGCTGATGCTGCTCCACTGTAGGGATGGTATTGTCCAAGTGATAAGTGGTGCCTGCTTTCTTCCATACATGACGCTTGCCATTCAGGTCAAAAAAGTTAAATCTTTGTTTCATCAGACCAGATATGGTTGTTCTTCTGGAAGGTTCTCCGGCCTGATTGGTGGAGAGCTGCAGAGATGGTTGTTCTTCTGGAAGCTTCTCCTCTCTCCACAGAGAGAGCTCTGCCAGAGTGACCATCAGGTTCTCGGTCTCCGCCCAGACTGAGGCCCTTCTCCCCCAATAGCTCAGCTCTAGGAAGAGTACTGGTGGCTCCACACTTCTTCCATTTACAGATGATGGAGGCAACTGTGCTCATTGGGACCTTCAATGGTGCAGAAATGTTTCTGTAGCCTTTTCCAGATCTGTGCCTCAATACAATCCTGTCTGGGCGGTCTACAGACAATGCCTTGGACCTCATGGCTTGGTTTGTGCTCTGACATGCACTGTTAACTGTGGGACCTTATATAGATGGGTGTGCGTTTTCCAAATCATGTCCAATCAACTACCACAATTTACCACAGGTGGACTCCAATCCAGTTGTAGAAACACCTCAAGGATGATGGTAGAAACCGGATACACCTGAGCTCAAATTTGGGTGTCATGGCAAAGGCTGTGAATACTTATGTACATGTGATTTTTATTTTTAATAAATTTGCAAAGATTTCAAAGAAACTTCTTTCATTATTGGGTATTGTTTGTAGAATTTTGAGGAAAATAATGAGTTTAATCCATTTTAGAATAAGGCTGTAAGTTAACAAAATGTGGAAAAAGTGAATCGCTATGAATACTTTCCGGAGGCACTGTATCAGTGTGTGTGTGTGCTCACCTGTCTGTGTTGCGGCTGCTGCTGGTGTGTCTCTGTGAGTTTACACAGTGTGTTTTTCTGGTCCTCAATCACATGGTAAAGCTCCTGAGTCTAGACACCCACACACACAAACACACACACACAGAGAGAGAGAGAGAGAGAGAGAGAGAGAGAGAGAGAGAGAGAGAGAGAGAGCATGAATATGAGCTTGTCTGGATGGGGACTGTGAGTGTGTGTGTGTGTGTGTGTGTGTGTGCGCGTGTACTCGCCTCTGTGTCTTTCGTTCTTAGGCTGTCTGTGAGGTTCTGGATGGTTCTCTGCTGGTTCTGTGCAGCTTGTCTGATGGACAGAAGCTCTGACTCCATCTCACTCACTTTCTTCTGCAGCTTCTGAGACACAAACACAAACATCTGAGCCGGCAGTCAACAAAACAAACTAAAGACTAAAACCCTTTCTAAAGTGAACATGATACACTTTTACACTTTTGAATATACATGAACGAACGAATCACTCAATCAGAGTTTTGAACTGATTCACAGAAATTAATACAAATACTCCAGTGTAAATCATCAGTTCTCTATGTGAATATACAGTAAAGTGTAATTTATTTCTGTGATCAAAGCTGATCAGCATCATTACTCCAGTCTTCAGTGTCACATGACCCTTCAGAAATCACTCTAATATGAGGATCTGATGATCAAGAAACACTTATTATTAATGTTTTAATGATTTTTGTGGGTTGTTTAGCTCTTGTACCTTGTTACTGGTCTCGCTGTGATGGATCTGAGTCTGCAGAGCCTCGACCTGCATCTGTGCGTTCTGCAGTTGAGCGACACACTGTCCCGCACTGTGATCGAACTGAAGCGTCTGTGTCTGCTCCTCCATCAGAGTCTGAAGAAACCAGAGAAGAAACCTGAAGAACCCTGACCCTAACCCACAACATCAGACCTGGTTTACACTGCTGGAACCTGCTGTACTTGTGTCAACTCTTGGTCTGCTTTTAATATCATCCGGTTCACACACACACACACACACACACACACACACACACACTAGTATTGCTTAATTTATTCAAAAGAGCATTGACGGTCCATGTTTTAGAAAATCTTTCTGGACTGTGTTCATCTGACGCATCTGAGGTCCTTTAACTGTGATGCATTGAGGTCAGACATCACTCTGTGAGTGTGTGTGTGTGTTTTGGCTCGAGGGCGAGAGATCTAGGCCAGTGGTTCTGCCACACTCTCCATGTTAACCTATTTAACCGTAAATGTCAGGCTATCTGTGGGTTAACGGAGACTTCAGTGAAAACGAGGAGATGTGAGGAAAGAGAGAGAACACACACGATCTCTGATCTGATGACGGTACGGCTCACAGTGGCTTCATTCATCGGTGCCGGTTTGGAGCAGGAACAGTTCTTATTTATAAGCTGATCAGGTGACAAACGATTGAGTAAATAACCTCAAACACAAACTGCAGATGTTTATTTTTGGTTTGGTGCTTTTTAAAAGTTTCAACCTCGAATAGCGACTTTGTACCAGAACTCCATATCGTACAAAAACAATGACACAAATAAACCAAACATTAAAATGTGTCTTTATTAGGGAACACGTTAGCCGTGTTCCCTAATAAAGAAAGATTTGAAAGATCTTTGAAAAGTTGAAAGATTCAGAACAGCTTACTGAACTCTTGTGCAATCCATCAGTGTTTCAACAGCCGAAAGTCGTCAATAATGTGAGAATAATGACATGTAACGTAACATTCACCTCATTCAGTGACCATAAACGCAATATTCAACTAGAAAAATAACTCTAGAGGGAGTGTTCGGATAAATTAATGCACTGTGTTATATATTCATAAATAGTAAATTTTCCTTTATTTATACAGTGCTTTCAACAATCTAGAGTTTCACAGCCACTTTACAGTGATAACAGGAGATTACAGTAACAGAGTAGGGGTTTCATCAACTAGTCGACTAGTCGACTGTCACAACCACTAGTTGGCGCTGTTGGCCTTAGTCGACTAGTCGGAAACAAAATGATGACATATATATAGATATTTTTTTTGTTAACTATCCTTTTAAATACAAGCGGCAGTACTATATACTATAAGCACTATAAGGCGCACCTTCAATGACCTATTTTAGAACATTTTTCAAACGTTTGACTGGGTTTGCGTTATGCATCCACTAGATGTGCTAAAGGGAATGTGCGCGGCGTCGGAGGTGAGGCGTTTATTTAGTAAGCGTGAGCGCGCTGGGGCGGGCACGTAACTTACATCCGCAGCCTGCTGACAGCAGTGTCTGTTCGTGTGTGTGTTAGAGAGAGCGCTCGTGAGCGGGAGATATTTTATACGAGGTTGAACTGGCCGTGTGACAAAGCGGATGGATTATAAAGCTTGAGAAAAGGCCAGATTGAGAAAATTAAAGGCTTTTAAGTGCGCTTTATAGTGCGGAAAATACGAGTACTATACTCTCGCTTTTAGACCAGCACGCGACGTGTTTAATATAGCCGCATATTAGCCTACACCAGATTTTCTCTCAAATGTTTGCTTTCACTTTCTATATGGGGAGGCTGCACTTTTGACATAGCCAATTCTGTTTATGTAAACATTGTATGTATTTAACAGTATTAGCATAATAAGACTCGAAAGATAACTTAGTCCAGTAGGCGCTGTTTGACAGGGTTCTAATGCCTGTGAGCGTCGGGGATATGCCGCGCGCTCAGGAAAGCGCACGTTAGAACAGCGCGTGAATTAAATGTTTAACCGGCAAGGCTTATGCAAACAATGAACTTTTGTGAATTGCAGTGTCCCGTACCAATTCCTTAAAGTGTGATGTGTAGGCTACGTCGCGTTGTACAGTTGAGAGGCGCCAGAACTGATAGAAAGCACTGTAACACGATACTACTACCATATTTCTTCAAAAGCAGATCGTGGAGACATTTACTATTCGTGTTGTCGCACACCCCTAGAATAAACCATCTAACGACTAGTCGTCGACTGTTATGCAAAACTAGTCGACTAGCAAAAATCAGTAGTTGTGAAACCCCTAATATTTACATACTTAATGTATGTTTAACTAGATCTGTCATCAAAACAAGTTATTTAGTTTGTTGGTGAAATATACACATTTAAACAACAATACACTGTGAGTAGAAACAATCATGACATATTGTTGTTGCCTTGGGGACAGTTGGGGAGATTCAAATGAATTAACCAATCAGAAATCCCATTGATCAGCTCTACCAAACGTGGATGTTTTTCCACTAAGAAACGAACATTGTTATCATGTTTTGATTGATACTGTGAAGCTGCTTTGATGCAATCTATATTGTGAAAAGCGCTATATAAATATACTTGACATAAAAAAGTTACTAGAAAAACAGCCTTATGTCCTATTTGTAGAACTAGTTTTGCAACATGACATCATGACTTTTGCGTAAACATACACGCCACTTTCGAGTCAGGTGGCGTGTTATCTCTACGCATTTTGAGCTATCCGCGTGTATGCGTGTATGTCTACGCCATTAATGTCCACGTCATTCCGCGTGTCTGTACACGACGTCAAATCTCCAGTCATAAATGCCATTAACCCCAGTGACGGTTAGGTTTAGGGACGGGGTTGAGGTAAGTCATATATTTATATAACGTTAAGTCAACGGCGTTCATAAACAAGCTGAAAGGCGATTATGCGTCTTGATAGCACGCCAAAAATGGAAATACGAATTGGCGTGTCATACACACGCTACTTCATGAGATCAGTCTGAGTTTTGAGTTTTGATTATTAAACAAGTTTGATTAAATAATGTATTTGTATTTAATCCTGAATTTTCAGTTTTGGGCCAGAATTTTCATTTCGGTGCATCTCAAATATTGCCATGAACCTCACAGACGTAAAATATGCAAAGTGATGAACATGACAAAAACCGAATGGGACAGTTGTGTTTTTAAATCATTACATGCATAAAACATGTTGTGCTCAGCACAAACCGTGTGGAAAGCGTCATCTGAATGCATCCGTTTGCCGACCCAAAGCAACACGGATCTTTCGGTCCTGTTAGTAAGCGCTTCACCTGTGGGAGCCTCCGGAAACAGAAGGGCAGGTACTCGTCCTGCAGCTCCGGCTCCTCCCCACCCGGCTCCAGCGGGACTCTCTCCGGCTCCAGCGGGACTCTCTCCGGTTCCGGCTCCAGGATCATGTGGTTCGCTCCATCAAACAGGTTCCCCTGCTCTGGACGAGCCAGTTTAGCTCCTCCATTAAAAACCCCAGGATGCACCAGAACAGGGAGCCTGCAGCCAGGGGGAGCCCGGACGGGCCGGTACACACAGTCCTGCAGCAGAACCAGCATCAGCCGTGACGGAGTTTCCTCGGATGCCACGAGATGCTCCTCAGATGCATTCAGGGATTCCAGCGAGCCACCGCAGCTCAGCTGCTCTCGTAGTGTGTGATCACCTTCTGATGAGCGGCTCCCGGTGCCGGTCCGCTCTTCCCCACAGGTGCTCCCGGTGCCGGTCTGCTCTTCCCCACAGGCGCTCCCGGTGCCGGTCTGCTCTTCCACACAGGTGCTCCCGGTGCCGGTCTGCTCTTCCCCACAGGCGCTCCCGGTGCCGGTCTGCTCTTCCCCACAGGCGCTCCCGGTGCCGGTCTGCTCTTCCCCACAGGCGCTCCCGGTGCCGGTCCGCTCTTCCACACAGGCGCTCCCGGTGCCGGTCCTGTAGTAGCGTGTGGACGGGCCGCAGGAGACGCTCCTCCACAGCTTCCGGGGCACTTTACACACGGCTTCGTAGTCAGCGTCGGACACACGCAGCGCTCGGCACCTGCTCGAGGATGACTCTAACGTGCGGCACGGTGGATTGAGAGAACACTCCCACATCTGCTCCTCGTCCTCCGCCCAGGACTCGTGCATGGAGTAGGTGAGGTCCTCCTGCAGCAGCGCACAGTACCGGTGAAGGGACGGGTCATCAGCGCTCGCCTCCGGCGCCCCCTGCAGGTTGTGTTTGTTATAGAGCGCAGTGATGCAGATGCGCAGACGCTCCTTCTCCAGCAGGAGTCTGCGCAGACGCTGGAGGGACAGCGCCTGCACGCGTGCGATCACAGTGTCGAAGCGGAACATGCGGTCCAGCATGAAGCAGCACTTGCTGCAGACGAACTCGCAGCGCCCGTCGCGCTGAAGCTCGCGGCCCAGAGCCTCAGACAGCAGAACCTGCAGCTTTAGCTTGGCTGACGGGCGGAAGAGCCATCGCCGCTGGTTCCCACACAGATCCCTGGCGCACACACGACACGCCTCCTTCATCCCAGCAGAGACGGGATATTCACTGGAGTCGGATATTCACTGGAGTCGGATATTCACTGGAGTCGGATATTCACTGGAGTCGGATATTCACTGGAGTCGGATATTCACTGGAGTCGGATATTCACTGGAGTCGGATATTCACTGGAGTCGGATATTCACTGGAGTCGGATATTCACTGGAGTCGGATATTCACTGGATTCTGAAACACCTGCAGACATTTGGTTTAAAAAGAAAAGAAAAAGGTTTAGCTTCCAAAAAAAAAAAAAAAACAATCCTACTGTTTTCATGTCGTCAAATTCAATATGTTATACAGTCAAACAATATGTCAAACAGTATTATAATTTTTGTCATATTTTCAGATAATATCAATAATATCAGAGATTATAGTATAAACAAAAGCGTAGCTTAATTACCATATGAGACTGCGGCTCGGAGTAATGAAGTCCTCAGGGTGTCATCATAGATGGCAGTCCATGAAAGCGGGAGAAAAATGATCATAATCCGCTAGCGCTGGAGCAGAGATGCATCTGAAAGTTCAACTGCGGCGAGTCGGGCCAAACACACGAGGACTAGTCTAACGTTGCCGAAGTCGATTTTCCGAGTGTGTGTGTGTGTGTGTGTGTGTCTGATGCGGAACACGCGCCTCCGTCTCTCTCTCTCTTCATCACCGGAACACGGCAGCGGTGTGTGTGTGTGTGTGTGTGTGTGTGTGTGTGTGTGAGAGAGAGAGAGAGAGAGAGAGAGAGAGAGAGAGAGAGAGAGAGAGAGAGAGAGAGAGAGAGAGAGAGAGAGAGAGAGAGTGACGTAAGTCTCATCATCATCACTGCGATACAGAGAAACATCAGATTCTGCGGTCGCGTCATCAGATGAAAGGAGGGTTAAACCATCTCACACCGCAGGGGTGGATCACTCATCACTACACATCATTGTACAATAGAACGTCGACTGAAAAACGACGAGCCAAGAAAAAGAACAATAATCTGTAAAATACAATATTTTGGTCATATTTGCCGCGTTCCCGTCAGAATACAGTGAGGTGATGCGGGTCTGCGCGTTCCCGCGCCCCTCGGAGTGATTGACAGATCAGCAGCAGCGCGAGCCTCTAATGTCACCAAACCAGAAATAAACATCTGTATGATGATGACGCCTCATGCTTTATATCAATATGTATTATGGTTTAAGAGCTACATGTTAAGCTGATTCTTTTTACATTTAATCTACAGTTCAGTTATTTATTATGTCTAATGCAGGTTACCTGCATAAATAGGCCAGATTCATGTTTGTGAATAGCTGTGCGTCAGACTGCCAGTCAAGTATATTTATATAGCGCTTTCACAATATAGATTGCATCAAAGCAGCTTCAATCAAAACATAATAACAATGTTCGTTTCTCAGTGGAAAAACATCCACGTTTGGTAGAGCTGATCAAGGGGCTTATGATTGGTTAATTAATTAGAATATCCCCAACTGAGCAAGCCAAAGGAAACAGTGACAAGGAACCGAAAAACTTCACCAAGTGACCCGATGCCATTGGTAATAATCACACATGTTGACCAGTGACCTGACCCCTGACCCTGAGCATGACCTGTGAGCAGCGGTGCCTTTACATGAACTTTACCTCACCCCATTAGCCAATACATAGACATTTACATTTATGCTCATGTATTAATAAATTCAATTGACATAACTTCGGAAACATTTTTCCTTGTTTTCTAGCTGAAAAGTCCTTGGAGAATGTCATTCTCAATAGATATATTATTTTGAGAATAATTTGAGAATTTGGGTGTTGAAATATCCTGTTGACACAATAGCGTCTCGTACGATCGATCAGCTGTAACCATAGTGACAGTGACTAAAGTAACATCAACTAAAGTAACAAAGATGGCAACATTAATCTAACCCTAAATAAAATAAAACTAAATTCTTTTCACAAAAGAGTTTTATCCTGAGGTCTCATGCTCACTCAGCAGGTCCCAGTAGTTTGTGTGTGTGTGTGTGTGTGTGTGTGTGTGTGTGTGTGTGTGTGTGTGTGTGTGTGTGTCTGAAACACAATAGTGACCACATCTGAAGTCTCTCTATTTGCTCATGTATCATGTGTCAGAGCACAAGAAAACGTGTCGTCTGGTTCTAATAATGCAGGGAGTGGATCGTTTGTTTTCAGGATCACAGTAAGAGACTCATGCAGCTTTTGAACATGTCAGTGTTTGTGTGCATCACTGCGCTGTGATCTGAGACAGCAGTCAAACACTTCAGTTCAGGACAAAGACTTCAATAATTCAGCCCAGTTGTGTTTGCAGACGTCAGCCTCTATAGGTCCCACAATGCACCTGGCTCGTTGCCACGGGAACCGTGGTTGTGAATCCAGAGAATTTGTCCCATTCTGACGGTTATAGAAGTTTTTATTTTTATCTGCTGTTCCAAAACATTTACAAACAAACTAGAGACAACCTTTAGACTGTTCTGAACACACACATGCCACTCTCTCTCTCTCTCACACACACACACACACACACACGCACGCACGCACGTCTGGTTGGCTATCTTTGTGGGAACTCTCCATAGATGTAATGGCTTTTATACTGCACAAACTGTTTATTCTTTCCCCTACACTAACCCGACGCTAACCCTACGCTAACCTGACACTTACCCGACGCTAACCCCACACTAACCCTACGCTAACCTGACACTTACCCGACGCTAACCCCACACTAACCCCACACTAACCCTACGCTAACCTGACACTTACCCGACGCTAACCCCACACTAACCCACACTAACCCCACACTAACCTGACACTAACCCGACACTAACCCGACGCTAACCCTACGCTAACCTGACACTTACCCGACGCTAACCCCACACTAACCCCACACTAACCCTACGCTAACCTGACACTTACCGACGCTAACCCCACACTAACCCCACACTAACCCCACACTAACCTGACACTAACCCGACACTAACCCGACGCTAACCCTACGCTAACCTGACACTTACCCCACACTAACCCCACACTAACCCGACACTAACCTGACACTAACCCGACACTAACCCCACACTAACCCCACACTAACCCGACACTGAAACGACAATAACCCCACACTAACCCGACACTAACCCCACACTAACCCCACACTAACCTGACACTAACCCCACACTAACCCCACACTTACCCCACACTTACCTGACGCTAACCCCACACTAACCCCACACTAACCCGACACTAAGCACACACTAAACTCACACTAACCCGACACTAAGCCCACACTAAACCCACACTAATTTGACACTAACCCGACACTAACCCCACACTAACCTAACACTAACACCACACTAAACCCACACTAACCCCACACTAATTCGACACTAACCCCACACTAACCTGACACTAACCCCACACTAAACCCACACTAACCCCACACTAACTCGACACTAACCCGACACTAAACCCACACTAACCCCACACTAACCCAACACTAACCCGACACTAACCCCACACTAACCCGACACTAACCCGACACTAACCCCACGCTAACCTGACACTTACCCGACGCTAACCCCACACTAACCCACACTAACCTGACACTAACCTGACGCTAACCCCACCACTAACCCCACACTAAACCCACACTAAACCCACACTAACCCCACACTAAGCCCACACTAACCCCACACTAACCCGACAATAACCCCACACTAAACCCACACTAACCCGACACTAACCCCACACTAACCTGACACTAATCCCACACTAAACCCACACTAACCCCACACTAAATCGACACAAACCCGACACTAACCCCACACTAACCCACACTAAACTCACACTAATTCGACACTAACCCGACACTAACCCCACACTAACCCGACACTAACCCACACTAACCCCACACTAACCCGACACTAACCCCACACTAACCCCACACTAATTCGACACTAACCCGACACTAACCCCACACTAACCCCACACTAACCCGACACTAACCCCACACTAACCTGACACTAATCCCACACTAAACCCACACTAACCCCACACTAAATCGACACAAACCTGACACTAACCCCACACTAACCCCACACTAAACTCACACTAATTCGACACTAACCCGACACTAACCCCACACTAACCTGACACTAACCCCACACTAAACCCACACTAACCCCACACTAACCCCACACTAACCCCACACTAACCCCACACTAACCCCACACTAACCCGACACTAACCCCACACTAACCCCACACTAATTCGACACTAACCCGACACTAACCCCACACTAACCCCACACTAACCCCACACTAACCCGACACTAACCCCACACTAACCCCACACTAATTCGACACTAACCCGACACTAAACCCACACTAACCCCACACTAACCCGACACTAACCCCACACTAACCCCACACTAACCCCACACTAACCCCACACTAACCCCACGCTAACCTCACACTAACCCCACACTAACCCCACACTAACCCCACGCTAACCTCACACTAACCCCACACTAACCCCACACTAACCCCACGCTAACCTGACACTAACCTGACGCTAACCCCACACTAACCCCACACTAACCCGACACTAAGCCCACACTAACCCCACACTAACCCGACACTAAACCCACACTAACCCCACACTAACCCGACACTAAGCCCACACTAAGCCCACACTAACCCCACACTAAACCCACACTAACCCCACACTAACCTGACACTAACCCCACACTAACCCCACACTAACCTGACACTAACCCCACACTAAACCCACACTATCCTGACACTAACCCCACACTAAACCCACACTAAACCCACACTAACCCCACACTAACCTGACACTAACCCCACACTAACCCCACACTAACCTGACACTAACCCCACACTAACCTGACACTAACCCCACACTAAACCCACACTAACCCCACACTAAACCCACACTAACCTGACACTAACCCCACACTAAACCCACACTAAACCCACACTAACCCCACACTAACCTGACACTAACCCCACACTAACCCCACACTAACCTGACACTAACCCCACACTAAACCCACACTATCCTGACACTAACCCCACACTAAACCCACACTAAACCCACACTAACCCCACACTAACCTGACACTAACCCCACACTAACCCCACACTAACCTGACACTAACCCCACACTAAACCCACACTAACCCCACACTAACCTGACACTAAACCCACACTAACCCCACACTAACCTGACACTAACCCCACACTAAACCCACACTAACCCCACACTAACCCACACTAAACCCACACTAACCCCACACTAACCTGACACTAACCCCACACTAACCCCATACTAACCCCAACACTAAGTGTCGAATCAGTGTGGGGTTAGTGTTGGGGTTAGTCTAACCCCACACTAACCTGACACTAACCACACACTAAACCCACAATAAACCCACACTAACCCTAGTAGAATTATACTTTCTCATTTTTACTTTAAAAGAAGCATTCGAATAAAAGCACACTTGAATAAACTTCTTTTTAATAAGGGTTTGTCACAATACACACACTCACACACACGCCAATGGCGCCACCAGGGGGTGGCCAGGGGTGGCCATGGCCACCCCTGGCCGACTCCTGGCCACCCCATTGGCCACCCCAATGGCCAGTA